CTTCCGACCTCGTGCTCGCTGGCGAACTCCCACCGCTGCCCCCCACGCCCCAAACCTCTCCCCATCAGGCACAGCAGCCCCCCGAAGACCCTCGCTGCCTGCAGCACCCCTCCAGCAGCCAGCGGGCTTGTGTGCGAGCAGAGCAGCTCCGTCACTGCTAATAATCCCTGACCATCCATCTTCCCCCTGCCGAACTCGACAGCGTGAGGGAAAGGTTAAAAGGATCCAGATGCACCTGAGCGGAGGCAGGGTGCCGCAGCGCCCGCCCGGCGTCCCCACCAAAGGCAGCGGGGAAAGGTGCAGGACAGGGCTGCGAGGGAGCGAGCCCAGGGGGGCCTGGAGCTGCCCGAGGCTTTCGGTCTCTCCAGAGATGGACAAAAGCACCTCTGATGCAGACCTGGGCTCCCTTGCCATCATCTCCCCCTCCAGCTAGACCAGAGCCTGCTCCGAAGCCTGACCCTCCCAGGATCCAAGGCTGGATCCTGCCGGCAAAGCAAAGGCTCCGCTGAATACTGGGTCCAGAAGCTGCTCTGCCAGCAGTCCCAGGCTGGCCCCGAAGCTGCTCTTTGCCAACACTGTGCTGTAACAAACCATTGTTTTACTCTTGCTCCCTCCCTAAAGACAAGATGTCTTCTGTTTCTTACGAAAATATCCATTAGTGAGATTACCACTGCTGGTTCGCTGGCACTTCGAGGAGCAATTTGAAAGGAAGGGACAAGAAAGGCAGAGAGGAGAAAATCGCACGAATGAGCCCACAGATCCCCAGATCCGGTCACCATCCAGCACAGACCCCCCCAGCCGCTCTCAGGCTCAGTGCAGATCGAGTCCCGTCCAACCCCACCTCATCACGATGGCTCGGGCACCAGGCGGTGGGTGACACCCTGCCAGTGTGGGCAGAGGGACTGGACTCAACTGGGGGAGAATAAACATCTGGCTCCCGACACTGGCAGCTGCCAGCAGGAGGAACTGGCTGGAGCATCCCCGGGGTGGCCTTGCACGATCGAGCCCTCGGGGACGGTCTGTGCCACACGAGGTTTGCAGAGAAAAGGACAGAGCTTGTGTGACAGGACAGGAACCGAGGCTCGGAGGGATTCTGGGGCAGTGCTAGCGAGAGAACTGGGGAGCACTGGCCTCCCCGTCCCAGAGGTCCCCTGCTTCCCCTCGGAGCGGTGCCAGCCGGGCTCGGTGACCGGGAGCAGCCCTGCCTTGCCCAGCACAGTCACAGCTCATCACCTGAGGGCAGCAGCCCAATTTCTCAAAGTCCATCTGCCTGCCCATGCTCTGCCCCCCGCCTGCCCGCCCCCAGCAAGGACAAGCAAAACAGGCCCCTGCACCCGTCCTGCCTGCACAGCCACGCTCCCCTCGAGCCCTGAGCCACGCTCCAACCTCTCCAATCTATTTGTAGCACCATCACGTGGGGAGGGCAGCGGTTCCTGCCTTGCCCCCAGCTACCCGCTCTGCCCTGCGAGCAGAGGGACCTTCCTCCCCCAAGCACACCGGGCCGGAGGTTGCTGTCATGTCAGCCATGGCAGAAAAGCCCACGTCATCCCTGCCTTGGGAAGGGAAAGGCTCAGGGAACGCGCTGGAGGGGTGAACAGTGGCAGCAGGGAACAGACCTTGCTGGGAGGCTCACGTCACTGCTCGGAGAGGCGGCGAGGAAGGCCAAGGGGAGGTGACGACCTGCTGGAAACCAGCGCTGCAGGGAAGCTGCCACCCCACTAAGACAGGGTGGCACGGCTGCTGAAGAGAGGCAGTGCTGGGACAGGAGAGCCACAGAGCCCCCGACGCAGGGAGGCTGTGGGGAGCCTGCGCTCTGTTCGGGGACCCTCCATCTACGGTACAGCTCCGCTGGATGGCAGCTCCCGGTCCACAACGCAGCTCCCACCCTGCTCCCAGGCTCAGATTAAGAATGCAGCAGCAGCAGCAGGGTGGCACTGGTGCCAGGGCCGCTGGGGAACCCAAATCCCTGCCGCAGGAAGAAGCGAGGCAGCAGAGGCTGCAGAAAGCACCTGCACCTCGTGGCCCTGGCACCCGGCGGCATGGCCAGCCTGGTCCTGCCCCTCACGGGAAGAGCTTGTGTCCATCCGCACTCCCCTGCAGCCTGAAAGCAGGTTTCAATGCCTGGCTCGCAGCGAAAGCTTGGCCCCCTCTCCTCTGATGACTCACACAGCTCAGATTTTGTCTGCTTTCACCCCTCTAGTGCCAGTGGAGCATGGCTGGATGGGCGCTGCCGTAGGTCCCCATTAGAAACGGTCCTTGGCAGCAAAAGGAAGAAAGGAAAGGGTCTGCGGGCAGCCCGGCTTTCAGCGCCTGCCCTGGGGCAGCAGCTTGCCCCCCTCCGTCCAGGGGCAGCATCCCAGAGGAACGGGGTCTGACTTGCACCACTGTCGCCTTCTGGGAGGGTTTTAGGCAGTGCCCAGAGAACAGCACTGCCAGCCACACCAGCAAGAGCGGTGTTAAGAGACCGGAGACCACCACGGTCATAGAAGAAATCCACTGTTAGCAACAGCTCAAACACAACAGGAGGGTTAAATCATCGGCTGCTCTGAGGCACCTAATTGCTGATCTGAGCCGGTAAAGGTTTGTTTGCATGGTTTATCAGAGCCATTAGGCTGAAATCCCAGACAACTGCTTATATTGGATTCTCTTCAGGCCTAATGAGCTCATGGGTGCTGTTGCTGGGGTCACAGAGACAGTCTCTTCTCCAGACACATCCTCCCCAGGCGTTAGGGTGCGTGTGGGGCAACCGCTCCCTTTGGAAAACAAGGGGGAAGATCCTGGACGTCCTCAGCAACAGGGTGAAATCTATGACTCACTCCCTGACAGTGCACAGAGGGGTTGTTAACAGACACGGGCAAGGTCAAAACATTACTGCAGACAGCTAAGGCGTCCCTCTAATGCCTCTGCCCTTCCTGGAGCTGTGAAGCAAGCAGCAGAGAAATGCCTGAAGTGCCCAGGGCAGCACCAGAGCAGCAGAAGTGAGACAGCAGCGGCCTTTGGCAGTTGAGGAGGAAAGGATCCTGGAGATAAGGGCATGCCTACCTTTGTGATTCATTGTCTTCAGGCACTGCTTGCTCTGGATGTCCCACAGTCGGACTGTTTCGTCATGTGAGCCGGAAAGCAGCAGGCTACCATCCGTGGAGACTGACAGACAGGTCACCTGGTTCCTGGAATGGGGAAGAGGAACTTTAAACTCGGGATGACCCAAGGACTGCCAGAACCTGGTGAGGTGGGCAGACGGGGGGCGATGAAGGGTTTGGCAGGTATGTCTGGTCCCTCACCTGTGCCCTTTGAAGACCTTCCCGTTCTCCTGCTCTGTCTGGAAGGTCCGGTCTCTCTGGACCGGCTGCAGAAATGAAGGAAGGAAGGGAGAGAGCGGTTTAAATTCAGGAAGCCTGAAGCCAGCAGGTTCATCACTGTGTCTGAAGGGGGCAGAGGAGACACAGGGGAACCCAGGCCCTCCCACGCCCTGGCAGGTCACGCCAGTCGCATAGGCGGGGAGGTGACAGTAGCTCAGGGTGTGGTGCCAAGGCTGGGCACGGCAGCAGCACCGAGCAGACCTGCAGCCCTGCAGCCCCGCGCACTCACCCAGGCGCAGAGGTCAACCTGGAAGATGGATCCGTCCATGCCGCCGCAGAACATGTGATACTCGGAGAGGTCGAGAGTCACAGCCATGATCCCCACATCGAAGAGTACGGAAAGCAGGAGCTCCCCAGATGAGATTTCCCAGAGCTGGAGTGAGAGGGTTCAGGAGAATTAGGGGCTTAAATGTTAACGGCAGGATTGGAAGAACACGCTGCTGCTTATCAGCACCTGCCCGGCGGCAAGCTGGCAGCACGTACCGGCATCCCCTCCCTCCTGTGGATGGGGAAACCGAGTCCGAGGCACAACCACAGCAGAACCCAGGATCGGCCTCTTCGTGACCATGAGACCACAAGTTTCCCAGGCAGCTCCGAAACGGCCTTAACCCCATCCCGTGCCCGTCCTGCCCCCCAGGGCAGACCCCTCCCTGCAGGGCAGGAGGAGCAGGCTGCGGGCTCTGGGCTCCAGCCTGCTCTGCTCCCTGCCGTTCGAGACTAAAGGACATCAGCAAGGGGAATCAGAGCTGACCCCAACATTCCCCAGGAGAAGAGGGACTGCGAAGCATGCGGAGGCCCAGCCCAGCCCCAGGGCAGGTGCAGAGAAACTGCTGGTGTTTGGAGAGGCAAAGCCCATTAGGTCTGGCAGCTCTGAGTCATCACGGAGACAGCCAAGAAATTCAGCTACTGCAGCCCTCATGGACAGCTCTGCTGCAGCCCAGCAGAAACTCTGCTGTAACCCTCTGGGACTCCTGTTCGGTGGGACTGAGCCGAGCCTTACCTTCGCTGTCTGGTCAAGGGAGGCCGTGGCAGCTCGTGCCAAGGGCCCTCCGAAGCCGCAGCACAAGTCCGTGATGGGGAGGCTGTGTCGGGACCACACGTGGCGAGGGTCAGGGATCTGGGAGGGCTCTGCCTGCAGCACGCTGTAGGGGAGAACAGAGAGACAGGCTGGCATGGCAAGTCAGCAAGAGCAACGCTGGGGATGCCAGAGGAAAGCGGCTGCGAGGAGAGCTGGCCACGGCTCTGCTTCCTCCGGGATGGCTCTCCTGGCTGCGAGGACCACGGAGGACACAGAAGCACATGCGATACCGAGGACGAGGGCCACTACTGAGCTCCCTATCCCAGAGGGGACAGAGACCTCAGCTGCCATTAGCAGCAAAAGGGCACAATCCACTCTGTGTCAAGCAGGGAAAAGAACTCAGAGCCATATGCCGCAGCCTGGGAAACTCAGATGAGACACTAGGAAACACCTCTCCGGCAGTGAGGATAACAACAGCGGAACAGCCGCCTAAGGAGGGCACAGACTCATCATCACCAGCAGGCTTTAAAAACAGCTTAGGCACACGGGCTTAGGCAGAGCTGATTCCGCCTCCGGGAAGCAGTGGCTGATCTCTTGTTCTAAGACTCCTCTCCCAGATGCTCCCTGTCCCCCGTACAAACGGGCCGAGACCTCCCCGCAGGCCGCCGTTACCTGTAAAGGTTCCACACCAGGGCCAGGCAGTCCTTCGCCCCTGAGAGGAAGTGGCTGCTGTCATCGGTAAAGCAGAGGCATGTGAGGTCCTGGTAGTGTCGGTTCAGGATGGCTAGGAGGTTCCCGTTGGAGACCTAGAGCAAGGGAAAGGGCAGGAGGACATTAAGGAAGGAGCACTGAGATGCCCCGGCATACCGCAGCGCCCTGCCCTCGACGGCTGTGGGTGTAGCAGCACCTGCAGCTCCATCCCCAGCCGGGTGCTGCTGTGCCAGGTGCAAGCAGAGCAGAGTCCCCGCGCTGTGGAGCCGCGCGGAACAGGGCGGTGGCAAACGGAGGGAAAAGGGAAGGTTGTGCCGACCACGCGAGCCCATTTGTGCCTCACTGATGGCAACTGACACAATCAAGGTGCAACCAGTACAACCACATACACTTATGACCAAAGGTAAATACAGCAGAAGACAGTTTGAAGAGGTCCTGCCAACATTAACTCTGGAACCTAGTGATGCCAGTGCCATTTCTCTGGTCAAGACACAAGCATGTAGTAAAGATTTCTTCTTTACTGCTAATATTACTCTGATGGCTTCTTCCAACCTCCCACAACACCTAACGAGATGGCTGTGGGGGTTACGAAAGCTGCGTGCCACCCCAGGGGTTGCTGCACTTCAGCACAGCTGCACAGTCTCGGGCCAAGGGAGGTTTTAGGGTGGACGAGGAGTTCCCTAAACCCGGAGCTTTCCTTGTTGAAAGGCAACACCGCAGATAGGGAGGGAACTAAGGAGGCAGCGAGGAAGCCCCATACAAAAAACCAGAATCAACTCCCTCTCGTTGTCTGAATTACACCTAAAAATAAAACCGAACTGCAATTCAACGGAGAACAAGTGGTTTCACAGAGAAGGCACAAAACTAGGGCTCCTGGGCCCATTTCCAGCTCTACGATGGTTTCCACGCAGCCTCCCCGAGGTGTCTGTTCCCTCTGCCAGGAGGACAGCGTCGTCACCCACTCCAGGCAGACGCTCGGAAGCGTTCGCAAGGCAAGGCTAGCAGGGGGCAGCCAGAAAGGGATGTGTTCCGCAGCTGAAGCAGAGCAGAGACCGGCTCAGAGCATCATGAGAGCAACTCCCACTTGCTGCAGTCTCAGCCCAGCATTCCTTGTGAGGGCTTTTTTTCCCCCAACATTGCCACAAGCACATTTTTAAAAGAAAAATCTGATGAATTAAGACAGAGCTGCCCACATAACAAGGCTCAGAAACATCCCCCAGGAGCGAGAGCTTTCCAGGTTAGACATCTCGGTGTTTAATCCCGGGGCTCAGAACAAGCTTGTTCTTTTATTTGCTTGGTGAAGTGCTTAGAACGTAGTGTAATCCCCACGTAAATACACCACTAATTAAAAACAGAAGGATGATGACCAGAGCCCAGCAGTCTCTGCAGGCATCCAGATCACAAGTCACATACAAATATTAGGCTAAAATGTGGAAGGAAAACTAGGTCCTGTGTTTCTGCTCTGAGGGAGCAACATCTGACCCCTGAGGCATCTGCAGCAGCTCGGAGAGAGAAGGAAAGCACAGAGCCAGGCCTCATCCAGCACCTCCCACCACAATTCCTTTCCCTCCCTGCTTTGACGAGCTGCCCCGTGGTCTGCATGCCCGTGGAGGCCGCCGAGCGGCCAGTCCCAGCCCCCCGGGGCAACACGGAGCCCAGGCCACACCAGCAACAGCTGTAACGTACACAACCCAGCAAAGCCTTCGTCGCCCTGTGGAGCCCAGATAACGTGGATTTCCTGGCACCTGAGGGGACAGGGGCACTCGCTAGCTGGACAGGATGCGAATCTCTACACCCCGCCGCCCGTGCCAGCCGGCAGCCCCCTTACCTCCCACAGGTAGATGCTCTCAGCAACCCCAGCCAAGATGTAGAGCCCGTTGGGGGAAGCCGTCAGGCAGGTCACCGGCCCAGGGCATATGATCTTCTGCTGGAGCTGGTCCTGGGGGCAGAATGAACACAGGGACCCTTCAGTAGGGGCTGGAGTACGGGAGGGAGACAGAAACGAGGCCCTGGTTCAGTTGAGACCGGCCCGTGGGAGAAGAGGCAGCTCAGGCAGCGTCCAACGTGCTGCGGCTGCCTGCGTTTGAGCCGTGCCCTCAACCCACGTCAGCGCTGCCGCCGTTCGGAGATTCAATGCCAAAGAGGAAGATGATGGAGGAGCGCAGTCCACATGTGCAAATCACATCGAACTGCTCTGCATTTTGCTGGTTTTGTTGCAGTTGCTTCGTGTTTAGCCCTGCAGGGAAAAGGTAAATTCCCCTCCCACTCTCCTCCACCCGCAGAGCTCCAGCCACACGCAGCAGGAGGGGTGCCGAAAGGCAAGGGATCTGGATGCAGTTGTGCTCCACAGCTGGGGAACCTTGGGGACTCAGCAGAAAACGGGCTCAGAAGATTACAGCACAACAACATTGATAAAAGATGAAAAAAAGAGGATGCGAGCTCACAGCCTGGGAGAACAAGCAGCAGGTCCGAGAGCAGCTCCTCACAGCTCGGGGGGACTGGAAACACCAGACCCTGAGCTGCAGCAGCGAAGGGGCTGCGCGTGCCGAGACCCCCGGGCTGCTGCTGCTCTCTGCAGCAAAACCGAGGGGAACGGCAGGGAATGGCGAAATCACGGCTGTGTTTGCTGCTGCTTGCCCTAGTTCAAGCGCAGGCGGGATGCAGGAGGAAGGGGGACGGCTGCGTAGGGACGGGTGAGGTTTGCCCAGCCGCTCCCATTTTTGGCTGGCCGGCGCAGAGAGCGGACGGAGGCGACGGGAGGCTCAGGGGAAGCAGGCCCAGCCGTGGGGCGCCCGCATCCCCCGGGCTCTGCCTCGGCAGGGACGGCCGCGTCCCCGGGCAGCCCTGGGAGCCGCGCGGCTCCTTCCCAGCCTCGGGAAGGGGAGCCGCGGGGGGGGCGCAGGCCGGGCCGGGCCGGGGGGGGGCGGGCC